ATTTTTGCCCAGAGTGGCCTTGAATCACAATCTGCCTACTTCTGCCTACTAAGTAGCTGGAATTACAGGCATGTACCACCATGCCCAGCCCATCTATTAATCAATATTGTACAGATGCCTTGGTGTCTCAGTGAATAATATAAATACCAACATGTATTTTAATAGGGATTCATGGTGCTTTTCTGTATATTATATTGGATGGTTTCTTTTTTTTTAGTTTAAGAAATTCTTTGCCTTCTAGTAGAAATAATTTCTCTCTTCTAGCTGACACTAAGCTGTCATGCTGTCTAAATTAAGATTTAATTTTAAAAATGATTTCCAGTTTTGTATATACATCAAACGTTTTCATTTGTACCCTGGAACGTTTTTATATTTATACTATCAGAAGAGTTTAAAAAATAAAAATAGTTAGTGTTAATATCACTCAAACATAAAATTTTACAAGATATTTTCATTCTAACTTTAAGGCAAACTTACTTTCTCAAGTTCACAGAACACTCAGCATGGACCAGACTTCAAAGTCTTAATTCTCTTCCTGACATCACATCATCACTCTCACATTGACTGTCTAGCCTTTTGTGTTTTTGTAATGAATTCAAAACTTCTTGTCATTGAGATACCCCAGCAACTTACATGAATTAAGAAGTTTCTATGGGTTTGAATTCACTTTATTTTCCCTATTTGTCTAAAAGTTCACACAGATAAACTAATTACCCTGAAAAAACACAAAGTCCAAATTGGGCTCAGAGAATAGCCATTTTGGTGTCATAAATATTGTTTTTTATTCTTTCAGCATTCGAATATAAGCTGAATAGAATAAATGATGATATAAGTTAGAATATGTATATATGCATGTGTACTTTATTGTCAGTACATTTATGTATATTTTATTGTCAGTGGGTTTACAGTCCAACTCAGAGGCAACATTGGAGAAAAGGTTGTCCTATTATAACTATTATTTTTCCTTTTACAAATCATATCTTAAAGCTTTGCTATTGTCTCTATTTTTCACTTTAAAGTTCTTTTAAAAAACATTTCTAGGGCTGGTGGAGTGGCTCAAGTGGCAGAGCGCCTGCCTAGCAAGCATGAGACCCTGAGTTCAAACCCCAGTACCACAAAAAATAAAAAATTTCTATAATATGCATTTATCCTTTTTGGTCACCCATGATCTGCAAAGAAGTAGAGAGGATGCTAGAAATTGAGTGATAATTACCACAGTCCCTTGCTTTGATGGAGCACAATATCTTAACAGAGATACAAATAAAGAAATGAAATTATAATATGCCCAATAGGGTCACTCTGGTATTATGAGGATCCACAAAAGTGGAGCCAAATATATAATTATGTGGGAGGTGATTAGTCAGTTCTACCCAGGGGAGGTACACCAAAGTTTAGATCTGAAAGATGAAAGTGGTTGAGGTAGTTAAGTCTTTTATGCATAGTGATTTGCAGGAACACTTTACAGAAAGGAAGCATTTGATGAAGGTCATGCAGCATTGCTGAAAAGTTGTTTGTGTGTGCATGCCCTCAGGTGTGTGTGTGAATGTGTATATCAGTGCAGTAATAAAGACTGATTTTGAAGATAAGGGCAAAATAGTTTCTGCCTGATAGCAAGGGGGTAGGGAGGGAGAGGGAGGGGATGGGAATAAAAGAAAAAACAACAATTAGGAGATTAAAAACAAACAAAAAAAAAGACTGATTTGGAGAAAAATGTAGAGGCTAAATCACTTACAGTCCTGACTTGTAATAATAGTAACTAGTACTTAAAATAAGACTCCATGCCCAGCATGGATGTATCTACTTTTAATATATCAATACATTCATTCATCACATCAAACCTAAGAATGAGAGACAGAATTGTGCTCTTCATGTGTATACATGCATGTATACACAGAAAAATGGATGCACAGAGACTATGTAAGTTCTGAAAGTTCACGGAAATTACAGGTGGCATAATTGTGATTTCAGTTCCAGCCTTTCTCACACAGAAAACATATTCCAAGTCCTTGCCCCTAAAGTTAGCCAGGTTCAGAAAGACAAAGTTTACATGTTTTCTCTCATATGTAGATGATAGATCCAATACAAATACAAGCATTATCATATATACATGTAAATATATAGAGAACATGTTTCCTAAAGTAGGAATGTTAGAGGAAACTAAAGGAGGATGAAAAAAATAAAGGAATGATAGAGAATAGTAATGAAATACATCACATTTGTATAGGAAAAAGACACAACAAAACTCACTAAAAACTACTGAACAATACAGGGTAGGGGGAAAAGGGTGAGGCAGAGTAGCGGAGAGGGTTAGACTGATTAAAGTTTAATATAAATATAGATAAAATACTAAGGCAACATCCTCATTGAACAACAAACAGATACTTAAACAGTGAAGGACAGAAAGGTAAAACAGATCATGTTAAGGGTAGAACACTACTGGGATGGGGAGGGTAAAGGAGGATGAATATGGTGGTGTACTTTCTATACAAGTATGAATATGAAACATGGAAACTTGTTGAAGTCACCATAAGAAGGGGAATGGGGTAGGAAGGAGAATAATGGAGGAGAAAAACCAACTCAGGGTATAACACGATACATGTTTATATGGGAATGTCACAATGACACCCTCCCCATACAACCATCAAATACTAATAAAAATGTTTAAAAGTCTTTGCCCTTCAGTGTAGTCAATGGACCAATAGCATTAAAATCACCTGAGATCTTGTAAGTCTGGGCACCAACCCAGACTTACAGCACCAGAATCTGTATTTTAACAAAACCCAGAGGTCATTCTCAGCACCGTCAAGTTTGATGAGCTTTGCTGTAATCCACTATATTGCTTCTCTGAGAATGAATTCCCTGAGAAGGAATTCGGGCATTTCATACATTTGTAGGGAGAGTATAGAGGAAGAGGGCATTTTTAGAAGCAGGGAGGCTTGTTAAAGGGCTATTGCCAACCAAGTGAAAGAAAATAGCAGGGACAGAGGAAGGAGGCAAGTGAACTTAAGAGGTAGCAATGGCAGAACTTAGAGATATTTTTGGGAAAATGAATTGAGAGAGTGGAAGACATTGACTCATCTCCAGTTTCTAGATTGAATCACTGGCTGGATAGTGGCATCATTTATTGTACAAGAGTATACCTGGGGAAAGTAGGATGCAAAGCAGAGAAGGAAATGGTTAGTTTGCCTTTAGATCACAATAACGTGGGCTTATGATACTAGGAGACAGCCAAACGCAGCTATTTAGCCAGGGCAAAACAGACAGCAGAGGGAAACCATATAAATTACTTGGGCATTTTAAAAGAAGTCATGGGACAAAGTCCATGTTGGAAATTTTGACTGTTGTGCCCTTGATGTTGCCCCAACAATTGTAAATCACTGTTGGTTTGTTTTCTGAGAAGATATTCTATTGATCCTGTCAGATTCTTCTTCTTCTTCTTTTTTTTATTGTGCCAGTACTGGGGTTTGAGCTCAGGGCCTCATGGTTGATCTTGTCCAATTCTTAAGGCAATCTGTGGTTCTAAAGCAATCTGATTTAGAAATAGATAAATGTGCAAGCTGATCATTTTAAGAGGATTTGCTGTGTTCTGTGAGAAGAAGTCTTCTTCCTCATTCTTTTCCTCTCCCTCCTTTTCCTCAAAGCCCCTTTTAGGGTACTAAAAGGTAGCCAAGAAAAATGGGGACAATCAGAGAGGAAAAGATGGTGACAAGAACATGGAAATGCAAGCTTTGTTTATTTCATGACATCTGATTCAGAACTTCCCTTTTGGGTTTTACTTTCTAAAGAGATCATCAAAACCAAAGAATCTCTAAAATATTCTAGATAAACACTTATTTTTAATATTATAAGTAGAAAAGTTTCTAGGATTTCCTAAGAAACACAAATTAATCCGGCTTTACTCAAATGTCATTGGCAAGTATAATGAAAATAAGAGGTAAACTTGTCAGTGAGGTGATGTTACACTAAGACATAAATCTGCTACTCTTTTTTAGGTAAATCACAGCAATGTAGGAATAAGTACAGAAAATGCAGAAAACAGACATTGGAGTTTACCTTCCCTAGTAAGCAGTCTGGATCATGGCTTCATGTATATCTCACAACACATATGTTAAGAAATATACACATTTGCAATGATTGTGTTAGATTTGAATACATACACTTTTCCAAATAAAATGATAAAATGTATATGAGACAGTACTGTGCATGTGAAATAATGGCCAAAGTGACTTGAGGATTGTCTTACAGTCTACATACAAGAATTATACATTTTACTAATGATTTTTTTTCACTTCCCACATTTCCAAAATCCAAAATGACAGCTGAGGAGCTGCCTGTCATTTTCAAATGGCTGGCAAACACTGAAGAGGATATGATTAAAATAGTGAGAAGCATTAACACATGAGATGCATGTTTTTTTTTTTTTGCCTAAATAACAGTCACAGTTTCAAAAAGGAGAATATTATTTATCTGCGTGGGCTGAATACACAGACATTTTAATTCAATCCCAGGAAATTTAAGAGTATGGATTTTTTTATGTTTGCTTCTGGAGAAATAGCAAGAATGTCATTAACTTCTTTTACTTAAAATCCCTGAGTGACTTCAAAATGTGTCTGGAAATATAAATTCAGTCATAAAATACGCTCAGTGATAATATTATTCATTATTATTCATTCAAATAAATTAACACAAGTTAAACCCAGCAGCTCTCCTCTCCCCCTTTCCAATGATGATGAAGCCCCAGCATTAAGACCATTACAAAAACTCAGAAGACAATACCAGAGTTCAAAATGAGAAATCTGGAAAGCTCAGCAAATAAAATTTGATAACTGTTGGCTCTTATTGGTAAGAAACTTAAAGGTATATACATATTTATTAAGCAAAATTTTTCTTCAAAGCAGTTACTGGAAAGTACGAAAATCTCTTGTCCTACAAAAAAAAAATCAAGAAATCAAAACACCACATAAACAAAGCACAAAGGAGGTGTTATGGGGAAAACTCACTTTTTCTTGCTTCTTCTTCCTGTGGTCTAGATAGTATGAAAGGAGAATATATGATGAGTTTTTCCTCGAATACACACATAGGCTAATTCCAAAAGGAAAAGAATGGGTCACCAGCACTATCCAAGTAGCCCTCCCAACTGCTGCTTTTTCAACTTTATAGGAAAAATATAATAGGATCCTTGTGTTCTCTCCAAGTCTATGACGTGCATGTAACTGATTCCTATTGGGTTGAAAAAATAGTCCTTGTCAATTTCTACTTAAAATTATGACTAACAAATCCTCTGCAGGACATCCTTAAAGGGAAATTCTTCCAGTATTAATACTTGAAACATCTGGGTAAGTTCCAAAGAGTTTAAAATACACAGCATTTATTCAGACACATACATACTTAAGAAATTTCCACTGAGTAGGCTAAATGAAGAGCATATTTATAAAAACAATTCTCTAAAAGGATGATTTTTTTTGATTTGTTTGTTTTTGGTTTTGCTTTCTGGTGACTATCAGAAAACCCTCTCTTTAGATTAGAAATGTCTGAACTACAGATCTTTTCTGTAGAACTATGTGGAAAAGATGAAACTACATGGTCTCACCTGTTGAGTTCTTGGTAGCTTGAGAGGTGAGCTGGAGTTTATGGCCTCTATCTCTTCTTTCTTGGGAAGTTTGGTAACTTTGAGCCTTAGATTTGAATAGAATAGCTCCGGGTAGTTACCTGCTTTCTGTGCCTGAAGGGTGGACTTCTGCCTATTACCTTATGAGCTGTCAGCAATTGTTATGTCATATCCATGTTGTATGACTTCATTTAAACTCAGATTCACTTGGATTTTTTTTTTAAATCTTCAATTCAAAGCATGAAAGTTGGCCAAAGATGTCAAGAGTTGGATCTAAAGAAAGGTTTGGATATCGAACTAACCCATAATGAATTCTGAGTGGGTCACACTGATATGTAGAACAAGTAATATTTGTCTTTAGATCCTCCATTTGAAGCCATTTCTCCAGTTTTAGAAGGAATGAAAGAAGAAATATTCTGTCTTATTCCTGGAACAAAGTTAAACTCTCCTTGTTCTAAATGTTAAAGGCATATGCTAATATTTTCTGATGACAAACTCAGTTACATAAAATCAAGGAACTTGAGCTAAGGAAATGCAGAATCAATTAACTTTGTATATTTTATTCACCTGACTTTGATGAGTAAGATGAAAATGAAAACATCGTGGTTAGCAACAACAAATTCTGATTCAGTGGAAGACACAGGTATATTTCCTCAGTAATAGAATCTGATCCTCATTAACACTCAGTGAATGGGCACTGTTTTCCTCCTCCTATAGATAAGGAAGCAGCTTCTAGGAGCGGTACAAGTGTCCATGTTTCCAACTGGTCATGGGCCATTGCTCTCTTGGTTTACACTATGCTTTTTGAGGGGGTAATCTATACTGATTCAATTGCAGAACCTCCTTTGCCTTCTCAACTTGTTACAATTTCTCCTTGATTTGTATCACTCTCCCCAAACAAACAAAAACACTTCATTAAGATCATAGATGTTTCAAAGAGTACTGCCTTTAATTTTATAGGAAACTTCTCAGCTCTGGTCATACCTGTTTCTTTTTGAAATTTGTTTAGTAACTTAGTTTCACTGTTTTCCTCTTTACTGTAAGCATCCTCAGGCTCTTTGACTCACTCAAATCACTCTTCCTAGAGATTAATCCTCTGTTCAGAAAGCTTCTCTGCATTCTCCATGGTGGTCCTTATCAAACCATTCAACAGTTATATTCTACAACCCCCTAATCTATAGTCTTATCTGACATCTCTCCAAGGTTCCAGATTGGTACCTTGTTATTTATTGTGATCCTGTCTAGAGGTCTGCAGACATCTCAGTCCCAAATGAAAATCTTCACCTTCTTCGCCCCCCCATCCTCTTAGTCTGCTGGTTTTTCTACCTAAGGGCATAGAACAATCATCCACCTGTCATCTTAGACACTTCTCTATCCTCATTTGTTCTCCATCAGCCTCAACTTTGCCCACCTTCTATTGGTTCTATTTTTTAAAATGAGATATCTGATTTTTCACCATTCCTACATTCTAGCATTCTAGTCCTTATGTAAAAAATTTTATCAGTTATAAAACAATTTGCATTTGACTCTGTCTAGTCCTCTTCTATCTTTTTTTGCATTATAGAATATTTATTTTTAAGTGTGTTTATTGAATAATAAAAAAATGCTTTTTGCAGAAAATCTGGAAGAATTGAAAAAATATATAGAAAATTTAAAATGTCTTACAATCTAAGAATAGTCATAGCCCAAATCTTTCCATATCTCTTTAGAATTTTATGTATATGTTAACATATACATTATATATATATGTATATACATAACATATACATTAAGGAAATGTTTAGGTGTTTGTGTAACTATTTATATATATATATATGTATAACTATTTTACAGTTACACAGTATATTTAAATTAGAAAACCTATAACTTGCTGTAACTATTAAAGAGAATGAGAAATAATTCTTTCCCATGATGAGGCCCCTACAACAAAAGACAAATTAACAAAAGCATACAAATTCATTTAGTAGAAGTTTATTTATTTTCATTGTTGTGCTGGGGGTACATTGTGGCATTTACAAAAGTTCTTACAATATATCAAATATATCATGCTAGTTTTACATGACATGGGAGACTTTCAAAGAGAACAGTGATATTGTGTGTTTCAATGCTTAGGTTTGATAAAGGATGAATAGTTGTGAATTATAATTGGACAAAGTGTGTGTGGAGGGGAGAGTGTCATGATCCAATGGTAATAAACTGGAAGAAACTTAAAGATGTTCATTTTCTCCAGGTGTAGAAGTTAACTCTTGGAGGGGGCACTGTTTTTTGCTCCCTCCCTTGTTAGAGTAAGCTTTTTCTCTTGCTCCTGGTTATTATTGAACCTAACTGGGCTTAACTAGGGGGCAACTAGAGATTCAGAAAAGACACAGGATAGACAGATAGATAGAAAGTGGGGTCATATGTGTTGGGTGTTCAGGTGGAGACACCCAACCCTAATTGCTTCTTTTCTCTATCTTTATTCTTTAAGGCCTTACTCTTTGCAGCTCTTTAAAACCTTACTTCTAAAGTCGTCTTTAAAACCTTACCTCTATTAGTGTATAGAAATGCTAATGATTTTTCTATGTTGATTTTATATCCTGCTACCTTGCTAGCTATTGATGGTGTCTAGGAACTTTTGAGTAGAGTTTTTGGGTCTTTAAGGTATAGGATCATATCATCTGCAAATAGGGATATTTTGACAGTTTCCTTACCTATTTGTATTCATTTTATTCTTTCTTCTTGCCTAATTGCTCTGGCTAGGAATTCCTGTACAATGTTGAATAGGAGTGGAGATAGTAGGCATCCTTGTCTAGTTCCTGATTTTAGAGGGAATGGTTTCAGTTTTTCACCATTAAGTATAATGCTGGCTGTAGGTTTGTCATATATAGCTTTTATAATGTTGAGGTACTTTCCTTCTATTCCTAGTTTTCTTAGAGCTTTTATCATGAAAGGGTGTTGGAGCTTATCAAAGGCTTTTTCTGCATCTATTGAGATGATCAAGTGGTATTTGTCTTTGCTTCTCTTAATGTGGTTTATTATGTTTATTGATTTTCGTATGTTGAACCACCCCTGCATTACTGGGATGAAGCCTACTTGGTCGTGGTGAATGATCTTTTTGATGTGTTGTTAAATTTGGTTTGCCATTATTTATTTTTGAGGATTTTTGCATCAATGTTCATTAAGGACTAATAATGAACAAACTGAAAAAGAATATATGAAAATAATTCCATTTACAATAGCCTAAAAAAAAAAAGATACCTAGGTGTAAACCTAACAAAGGATGTGAACCACCTCTACAAGGAGAACTATAAACTTCTGAAGAAAGAGATTGAGGAAGACTATAGAAAGTGGAGAGATCTCCCATGCTCATGGATTGGTAGAATCAACATAGTAAAAATGTCTATACTCCCCAAAGTAATCTACATGTTTAATGCAATTCCCATCAAAATTCCAATGACATTCATTAAAGAGATTGAAAAATCTACCATTAAATTTATATGGAAACACAAGAGGCCACCAATAGCCAAGGCAACACTCAGTCAAAAGAACAATGCAGGAGGTATCACGATACCTGACTTCAAACTATATTAGAAAGCAATAACAATAAAAACAGCACGGTACTGGCACAAAAACAGACATGAAGACCAGTGGAACAGAATAGAGGCTCCAGATATGAAGCCACACAACTATAACCAACTTGTCTTTGACAAAGGAGCTAAAAATATACGATGGAGAAATAGCAGCCTCTTCAACAAAAACTGCTGGGAAAACTGGTTAGTAGTCTGCAAAAAACTGAAACTAGATCCACATTTATCACCCTATACCAATATTAACTCAAAATGGATTAAGGATCTCAATATCAGACCCCAAACTCTAAAGTTGGTACAGGAAAGAGTAGGAAATACTCTGGAATTAATAGGTATAGGCAAGAAATTTCTCAATGGAACCCCAGCAGCACAGCAACTAAGAGATAGCATAGATAAATGGGACTTCATAAAACTAAAAAGCTTCTGCTCAACAAAAGAAATGGTCTCTAAACTGAAGAGAACGCCCACAGAGTGGGAGAAAATATTTGCCAGCTACATTTCAGACAAAGGACTGATAACCAGAATATATAGGGAACTTAAAAAACTAAATTCTCCCCAAATTAATGAACCAATAAAGAAATGGGCAAGTGAACTAAACAGAACTTTCTCAAAAGAAGAAACTCAAATGGCCAAAAAACACATGAAAAAATGCTCCACATCTATAGCAATAAAGGAAATGCAAATTAAAACCACACTAAGATTCCACCTCACCTCTGTTAGAACAGCCATGATTAGCAACACCACCACCAACAGGTGTTGGCGAGGATGTGGGGAAAAAGGAACCCTCTTCCACTGCTGGTGGGAATGTAAACTAGTAAAACCACTCTGAAAAAAAAATTTGGAGGCTATTTAAAAATCTAAACATTGATCTACCATATGACCCAGCAATACCACTCTTGGGGATATACCCAAAAGAATGTGATACAGGTTACTCCAGAGGCACCTGCACACCCATGTTTATTGCAGCACTATTCACAATAGCCAAG